TCCCAGCTACTTGGGAGGTGGAGGCAAGAGACTCGCTTAAGCCCAGGAGTTGGAGGTTGCTGTGAGCTGCGATGACACGGCACTCTACCCAGGGTGAAAGTTTGAGGCTCTGCCTTAAAAAAAAAAAAAAAAAGAAAGAAAGAAAGAAATGCATCAGGAGTGTGTTGATCTGTGGCTGGCTGGGTAGATGTGTGATGAGCACACCTAGTAAAATGTTAATAATAGAGTCTAAGTGGTAAAAATGCAGGTCTTCATTGGAAAATTCTCTCATCTTTCAGTATGTTTGATATTTTCAAAATAAAATATTGCAGGGAGAGGGAGGAAATATATGTAACAACATGACGGTCTTCCACCAAATAAGGAAAAATGCAGCGAGGGTAACATGTGGGAACATCACCTCTATCGCAGGTCCTTCCCCTGGTGGGCGTTTCCTTTAGCTCTCTGTATCTCTCTTTATAGTCTGTTTATGTCTCTTTCGGAAGGCTGTAAATTCCCCAAGGGTAAGAACACTGTCTTTGACTGATGGAATTTTGGAGCTGGAAGCCGTGATTGTAGTCCTCCCCTTCTGATACCCACCCACTTAGCGGAGGAAACTGTGGCTCCTGGAGGGCAAGTAAACTGCCTTCAGGCCCCTGTTCCCCAGTGAAATTGGGGAACAATTGGGGTCTCCTCCTCCCAGGCCAGCGAGTAGGAGTGCTATAGGGACTTTGTGGGATCTGAACCAGATCCCGGCCTGCTGCTTTCTCGTGGGTTACCCTGCAAGTGCCCCTGCCCCACTGAGCCTCAGTTTCCTCATCCATACAATGGGGTTAATAAGACTCCTTTTAGTTGTGGGAGACTTAAATGGTTACAGAATATGAACAGGTCTTCACCCAGTACCTGAAATCTAGCAAGTGCTAAGTGCACAAGCATTTGCCAGCGTCATCACTGTTCCTATGCACTTGGGACAGTCTGCATCTGAAAACTGGGCCTTCTGAGTGGTGCCTGTGGCTCAGTGGGTAAGGCGCCAGCCCCATATACCGAGGGTGGCAGGTTCGAACCCAGCCCCAGCCAAACTGCAACAAAAAATAGCCGGGCGTTGTGGCGAACACCTGTAGTCCCAGTTACTCAGGAGGCTGAGGCAAGAGAATTGCCTAAGCCCAAGAGTTGGAGGCTGCTGTGAGCTGTGACATCACAGCACTCTGCCGAGGGCAACAAAGTAAAACTCTGTCTCAAAAAAAAGAAAAGAAAACTGAGCCTTCTGTGTCTCCATCCATCCTCACTTGTCTTCCACCTGAGCCTTCCGTCCTGCCCCTTCTGTCCCCTGAGAGGACCACCCGTGCCTGTCTCTTTTCCTCTCTCCTCATTCACTGATTCCTCTGACCTTCCGGTGCCAAACAGGAAGAGACCTCTCTCTGTATTCCTGGAGTACCCTCTGTGGCTCTTAAGCTGTCTCTCTCCCTCCTCTTAACTATGTAAACTTGGTCATGTTTCCTAACCTGGGCAAGCCTGCACATGCTTCTCTATAAAATGAGGCAATAATAGTACCTTTTACCTAACTGGGTGGTTGAAGATTCGGTGATGTCATGCCTGAAAAGCGCCTGACAGGGAGCCTGGCATGTTTCAATTGCACAATGAATACAAGTAACTATTGTTATTCCTCTGGCACCTCCTGCTCTGAATGAGGATGCTGCCCTGGACTTCAGCCATTCTCTCCCTGTTGCTTCCGTGCTCACCACTGGCCTTTGGAAGACTTAGCTGCACAGGGGCCGAGCACAAACTTTGCACAGCAGCAAAGCATGGCTTGTCCCTGTTAACTTTCCTCTTAGAGCTGATCAGCCTGAAATCTCCAGCTCAACTCATCATGCGCTACAGACCTCCCCACAACTCCTTCTGCAAAGTAACAAGAAAAGACAAGCCTCTGTCCCCCCTGCCCTGCCACCCTACCCTCCTTAGGGAGCACAGTGGATCACAACGAGAGAGAACAGTGTATCACATTTATTCACAAATCTCAGGGACTCCAGAAACCCATGCCCCCACCCCCAGCTCTTCCAGTTCATTTCAGCGGATATTACAACAGGAACAGCAGTCTGCCCAGCAAGGCCAGGGCATCAGTTTAAGGCATGATGTCGGTGACGCTCTGGAAGAGAGAAGGAAAAAGAAAGTGAATACAGGGTACAAAGTCAGGAGCAGGGCAGAGGTCTCAGCCCCTCCTTCTCCCAAGAAGTAAGAGGTTCAGTGACGACTCTGGCCCAGGAATTGCTTATGTTCTGGGCAGTGTTTTAAGGAAGGTGGCATCCAGATTTAGCAGAGTAGAAAGCCAGGCCTTCCACCTCAGAGGATCCCTGGCCACTCCTATAGGCAGAGACACGTAGGGTGTGCTTTTGCCTGTCACACCCCCTCAGTCTCTGCCCAGGTAGCAGGCCGTGGAGGTAGTAAATGCACAAAGAAAGCCAGAACTTCACTTTGGGCCTGGAGTGAGGAGCAGGATTCCACAGGAGCCTCGACACATGGTGGGGGTTGGGAGGGGTTCTCAACCAGGGAAAGGACAAAGCCACAAGTCCCTGCACCCCACATACTGGTGCAAGCAGCAGGGTCAGGGTAGCAGAAGTGTTCACGGCAGGGGGCAGGGTGCGAGGAGAGGAAAGCCAGCCAGCAAATGGGGATGGCAGGCACAATGACAAAGAGACACGATGGCACGTGGAGGGGTAGTTTCAGCGGCCCCCGCCCTCCCCAGCTCCCAGATACACCAGGGCCCTGGAGCTCTCTTCTGCCAGCCTGTGTTTGCCTCAGTGGGAAGGAAAAGCACCCCAAAGATGACAACAGTCTGCAAAGGGAAAGGTGAAGGGAGGAAAAGGAGGGGAGACCAGGGCTGGGAAATGGGTGGAGGCCTCTGCAGAGGCAAAGGGTCTGCCCACAGGGGAGTTGTCTGAGAGCAAGCACAGGACCCAGTGTGTAAGAGCATCTCTCAAGACAGAGAGCAGGGGCTGGGTGCCAGGGCTCATGCCTATAATCCCAGCACTCTGGGAGGCCAAGGCAGGTAGATTGCTTAAACTCAGGGGTTCGAGACCAGCCTGAGCAAGAGCAAGATCTCTACTAAAAACAGAAAAACTGGCCAGGTGTGGTGGTGCATGCCTGTAGGCCCAGCTATTTGGGAGGCTGAGAAGCAAGAGGATCATTGAAGCCCAAGAGTTTGAGGTTGCTGTGAGGTACAATGCCACAGCACTCTACCCAGAGCCACAGAGTGAGATTCATCTAAAAAATAAAAAGAGGGTAGGAAGAAGATGCCACGTGGGCACTCACCCTCCACAGAGCTGGAAAGTTGATGAAGGGCTTGTTGACCGAGGCCTGGAATGCAAGGACAAGAAGGTCAGTCCCCAGTGTCTGTCCCACCACCCTCCTGGAACCTCCACTCCCTCCCCCTCCGAGTTCATGCTGTGTTCCAAGGACTCACTCCAGATGTCAATGTGGTGGTTGCGGCCCCTCCGTGATAGCCGGTAGATCCGCCTTGATGACTGCCCTGTGGACAAAGCCCAGGGCGTCATTACAACCCCTCAAGGGTCTGCCCCACTCCCTTTACCCCAGCGACCTGCTCCCCTCTAGGGAGACTGGAGCTAAGACAGGAGGGACAAGTTTAACCCCACTGCCTTGTCACTGTCCAGAAAAAAGACCCAAAGCCCACATTGCGGTGGGAATTCTGTGAGAGATGGGAAGAAAGCCAGGAAGAGTGTCCGCCTCTCACTCACTGCTCTTTTCCAAACTCACACTAATCTTAGTTAAGGAAGTGCTGTCAGTCAATGTGAATGGGGTCTGACTGCACAGACTGAACAGGGAGTGTAGAGGACCCACGCTAATACCAGGACCACCATCTAGCCTTGGCCCTGACCTCACATCTACCCAATTTAGCCATGTCCCCAACTCAGCTGTTTCCTGTCCTTAATCCTATACCCAGACACCCAGATACGCCTCACCAGCTATGCCAGCTCAACACAGAGCCCCGTTCTCTGCTGTGTGCTCTTCCTACACTGTCCCTTCCTCCCCGCCCACCTGTCCCTGCCTTTCTGCCTGGCAGTAGATGTGGCTCTGGGCTTTGAGGCCTGGGCCAGTCTTCAAGATGGTGTCGCACCTTGCTGATCCCAACTACTCCTCGTGGAAATTGGAGAACAGGGAACTGAAGCACACACGAGTTGGCCTCCTGCTGTTCCCCAAGATCCCCCCCGCCCCCGCCCCAGTGCCTATTCCATTGTGAATGGTGCTGCTTGCCTGACCTCCAGGATCTGCTCCCTCTATATAAATGGGTCAGAGAAATCCTCCAGCATGCCCCTGCCCGACTGAGCAGTGTAGAGGAAGAGAAAGAACTCTGAATTCGCCAGTGCTAGGTACTAGCCGTGTGAACTTGCCAAGTCTCTCTGAGCCCCGATGTCCTTATCTGAGAATCAGGGCGTCAGCGTCTGCATCCTGACTACCTCAGAGGGTGTTATGAAGATTAAACAGGACCTGGCTCATCACCAAAAGCCATTCCTCACGCTTATACTCCGGGTTTTCTCAACACTCATGCCATTCGCCCTGGAATAGATGTTGATCTCAGCAACTGTTTCTTGTTTCCCCAGGAGAGGCTTCTTGTTCCTCACTTGAGTTCCCCTTAACCAGGAGGGCAGCTCCCTGAAGGTGGGACAGGGTCCCTTCCACACTATCTGAAAGGGGCTTTGCAGATAAGATGGCTTAATCCATCTGACCAGCTGACCACGAGCTACTTTGTCAGGGAGATGGAGAGGGACGTAGTTCCAGAGCTGTCCAGCTTCTTTCATCGAATGAAGCTACATGGACTCCCGGAATGGCCCAAGGTTTAACCTCTCCCCCCACAATCCCCTGATCCCAGTTTCCCCACCACCTCTGTTCACCTACATTCAGCAGCTTGTTGGCCTCCTTGCCGGCTTGGTTGACCCCATTATGAACATCCTGCTGCAACCTGTCCACCTCCTTCCCGGCCTGGCCAGCAGCATGGTGGACACCTTGGCCAAGTTTCTCCGCTTCCTTTCCGGCCTGGCCAGCAGCATGGTGGATACCTTGGCCAAGTTTCTCTGCCTCCTTTCCGGCCTGGTTGACCCCACCGTAGGCCCCTTGGACCACTTTGTCTGCTTCCTTTCCAGCCTGTTCAACGGTATGGTGAACTCCCTGGCCAAAGTGCTCCACCTCCTTCCCAGCCTGGTTGACCCCGGGCTGGGCACCATGGACTACTTTCTCTCCCTCATTCCCAGCCTGCCCTGCAGCATAGTGGACACCAGGGCCCAACTGCTCCACCTCCTTTCCAACCTGGTTAACTCCATGATGGACCCCTTGGACCACTTTCTCTCCCTCTTTCCCAGCCTGACCAGCAGCATGGTGGATCCCCTGACCAAACTTCTCTACCTCCTTCCCCACTTGGCCGGCAGCATGGTGGAGCCCCTGACCAAACTTTTCTGCCTCTTTCCCCACTTGCCCGGCAGCATGGTGGATCCCCTGGCCAAACTTCTCTGCCTCGTTCCCAGCCTGCCCG